ATTGAAAAAAAAAAAAAATTTTGAAGAAAAATTAATAAAAATAAAAACACAATACTAAGCCAATTTAGCAAATAATATCTCAAATTAAAATACAAACAATATCTCAACTTCCAAATACAAAATTCGAATTTAACAAACAATATTATCAACATAGGTCAAGAATTTTACTAGCATAAGTCAATCTTCATTCTTCCCCACAACTGTTTCTAACAAAGGTCAAGAGTCAAAACTCAAAGTTAATTCCTATATAGTAAATAAGAAATGTAATTAGAGTAATAATACAACCATACTACTTAATAAAGAATGGTTTTAACTGAAAATTTAAACAAAACAAATATACCTCTTCTTCAATTGTCAAAATTGCCCAATTAATTTTGGGAAAAAATAATGGAAAGCTCCATTACCCAATTAATTTTTTTTAACGGGTGATCGGTTCGGGGTGGGGACCCGTCACTAAATACCATACCCGCCCCACCCCGAACCGGGTCATTAAAATCAAAACTATAACTACCCCATTGCACAATCGGTTCGATTTTTTTTGCCCCATTCAGTTTGGTTAACCGTAGTTTTCGATTTTAACAGTTCGAATTGCTATCCCTACACGCAACTCATCCCATTTTCCATTTTCATACGCAATTCACTTCATCCATACCGCTTTCATCATTCCTCAATCCACCACCGTTAATTCACAAGCGCCGAATTGCCGTTTCTATGGCTTCCCTTTCAATGCTTTCACTACCCATTCTCTTCCATTGCTTATTCCCAACAGAGAAACTCCAGAGACTAACACATCAGGTTTGTATTAGATTTTCCCTCTTTTCTTTGTGTTATTATATATCCATTCACGTAACGTTACGTAATATTTGGTGAGTACAATTCCAATTTATATGGAAACTTCGATTTCGATTTCGTTCCAATTTTAATTTCTTGTTAATTTTATTGATGTATTTTTCTTTTTATATAATAGTTTAAAATGGTCCAGAAATGCAGAGTTGCAATGGGTTTAGGATATCCGAGTGGAGCAACAAATGTGTGTTGCACCATGTGTAATACATCACTCCTTTGCCTAGGTAAATTTGAATTCGAAATTTCAGCGAAACTATAATTTGTTTGGGTGTCCCTTGGAAAATGTTGATTTCTTTTGTTTTAAATCACGGATTGCAAATTGTTCCAATGTTTTTTTCTATAACAAAACATCCA